GAAAACAAAAACAAAATAAATAAAAAGAAATGTATACATAACCCAATTCGATTAGCAACAAAAAAAGAGCAAGAAATATACGAGGAAACAATGGAAAGAGAACTAAAAAAGATACAAATAGAAGAGCAAACTGAGAACAAATGGGAAAACATAAAGCAAATAATGAATAAAGCAGCAAAAGAATGTGATAAACAAGAGAATAAAAAGATGAAAGACTGGTTCGACATAGAGTGCCAAAAAGAAATAGAACTAAGAAAATCATTAAGGATGGAAATGATCACGAAAGAAACAATAGAGACAAAGAATAGATATAGGGAGCAAAGACAAAAAGTAAAGAGGGTGCTGAGAGAAAAGAAGAGAAAACACATAGAAACTAAGCTAAAAGAAATAGAAGAGAATTACAGAAATAAAAAAATAAAAAACCTGTATCAAGGTGCTAGAAATGAAAAAAAAGGTTTCCAACAAAAACCCATATTCGTTAAAAACAAAGCAGGAAATAATATAAGCGGGGAAGCAGAAATAGTCGAAAGATGGAAAGAGTATTTTGATGAATTACTAAATGGCAATAATAAGTCAAACCAAAGAGAATATATGCAAGCAGAAGCAAGAATTGAACACATAGACGACATAGAAGATAATTCACCCAGCAAAAAACAAATCGAGGAAATCATAAAAAATCTGAAAAACAACAAATCCCCTGGAAGTGATAACATAACAGCAGAGATGATGAAATATGGTGGAAAACTGCTAAATAATTGGATATGCAAGATCATAAAAGAGATATGGATAAAAGAACGAATACCAGAAGATTGGAAGGAAGCCATTATTTGTCCATTACACAAAAAAGGAGACAAAACAGAATGCAGTAATTACAGAGGAGTAGCGTTACTAAATACCATATATAAAATCCTATCAAAATCGATAAAAGATAAGCTGGAAAAAGAAGCTGAAAATATAATAGGCGAATACCAGTGTGGATTTAGACGAGGGAGAAGCACAACGGACCAAGTATTCATAATAAGAGAGTTACAAGCAGAAAGCTATGAACACAACTTACCAACGATAGCGCTATTCATCGACTTCCAGCAAGCATACGACAGAATAAAAAGGAAGGAATTAAAAGAGACCCTTGAGGAACTGGGAGTTAGCAGAAAGTTGCGTAACATGATACATCTTACTTTAGAGAATACAGAAAACAGAGTCAAAGTTAACAATCATGCATCGGACAAATTTATAGTAAAAGAAGGATTAAGGCAGGGCGATCCTTTGTCATCATTACTCTTCAATTTATGCCTAGAAAAAATAATGCGAGAAGCGAGAATTAATAGAGAAGGACTCCTATATCATAAAAGACACCAAGTTTTGGCATTTGCGGATGATATAGTGTTGCTGGCAAGAGGAAAAAAAGAGCTACAGGAGATAGTACAGAGAATAGTAAAAGCAGCAAAGAAAATGGGACTTTACATAAATGAAACTAAAACAAAATGTATGCAGTGGACAGATGATCAGTTTAGGGATGGACAAAAGTTTAAAGTAGAAGTAGAAGAAAGATTATCATACGAATTCGAAATAGTGGAAAGATTTACATACCTAGGTACAATAATATAGTCGAACTAATAAATTTAAATATCGGATATTGTATTTATGAAATAATTATTTTAAAACGTGAAGTGTCATAAATATTGAAATGGATGATCCAATATTGTTATTAATTGGATGACATTTATGGCTTTTCAATTTTTACTTCAATACTACAATAGTCGAACTAATAATTTTTTTTTGGGTTAATGCCTCGACAACTACTATCATCATTGGCATGGTACAGTCAGGTACGTAGTGTAGTTTGTGTGTGTGTGTGTGTGTAGAGTAATTGTCTTGATACTTAGCAAAGTCGACGTCATTGTCTTTGCTAAGAGACGCTAATTGTATCGGAACGTCTGCGGTCCCTCTAGTGAGTACCGATCGCACAAGGATAGAAATTATTTTCATTCATTAATTTTTAATAAATGAAAATTTCTCCACCCAGATGAGATTCGAACTAACGACCTTTAGGTTTAAAGGTAGGCGCTCTTACCATTGAGCCAGAGAGAGGGTATCTAATAAATGTAAATATCGAATATTATATTTATGAAATAATTATTTTAAAACGAGAAGTGTCATAAATATTTAAACGGATGATCCAATATTGTTATTAATTTGATGACATTTATGGCTTTTCTATTTTTACCTTCGAGAATCGTTACGAATCGTATTCTAGTATCGATCTATTATTTTCCTGTTTGCCTTACTACATCTTTTATTAATACAACGCCAGTATAGAAGCTTCGCTTCAACAAATCATTATCTGTATTTTCGAGGATATTCCTTACTTATTTTTTTTTATTTCGACGTTAACGTGCTCGGCTACTATGTCCACTTACACAGGTACTATAACATGAGTTTTCATTACACAAACAATAAGTGTTACATTAAGAATATGTTACAATAATACGGAATGATAATAATTACTTTGTTTACTATTTTATTGTTTTTTTCAGATAGAATTCTGCAATATCGGATTTTCTTATGATATGGTCCCATAGATATTTCAAGAATATGTAAGTAGTCAATAATTACTCTAGTTGCGAGGAAGCACTCGTTGTCTTAAATGATTTAATTGCGGTCACACAAAGTTATTAAAAGAGAAATAGAGCTTGAAAATATATATTTTGTATGTGAATATTTCGGTACATGTAGAGAAACGCATTGCAGCAAACTATATAGGTACATATTTCTTGAGATATTGCCACTTTTCCATTGTACACTAAGGTGGTTACTAGAAAAACCATTGAAAGTGGTACAGTTGAAAGTATGAGTTGTTGTATCGACTCTACGTATCATTTTTATTAGAGATTTGATTAGAGATAAGGAAATTGTAAGCTCTATCAATGGATCTCAATTTCAATAATTTAAGATTTGAGTTTTCAATTCTTTGTGTATCTTTTCCTAATTCTGAATATCCGGCGTTCGACTTTCATTGTATATTTTTCGGCTATCTATCAATTAGCCAAACGCGTCCACTGCTGGACATAGGCCTCCCTCAGTTCTTTCCAGTGTTCTCTACACTGGACCGCTTGTAGCCAGTTTCCCGCTACACGTTTTATATCATCTTTCCATCTAGTCAGTGGTCGTCCTCGACTTCTTTTATAGTTTCTGGGCCGCCATTCCATAATACGTCTTGTCCACCGTCCATCTTGTGTTCTGGCTAAGTGCCCTGCCCAGTTTCACTTAAGCGTCGTGGTTCTTTCGAAGATGTCTTGAACTCCCGATCTTTGCCTGATTTGTTGATTTGTTATGTGGTCTCGAAGGCTCACGTTCAGCATTGGTTCTTTACTGAGTACTATTTTTCTAGTTTTTCGAATTGAAGTCGCCATGTTAAAATATTTTGCTTTTGTATTGAATTTGTGAACTAATCTTTCAAGGCTATCTGCATTTAGACATATGAATATTGCATCGTCTACGAAACAGAGAACTGTTCGTCATTTTGTATATTCTTCATTTATTGACGCTTTTCATATTTTTATTCATGATTAGATTAAATAGCATAGCTCTTAGTGAATCGTTCTGTCTTATTTCATTGCCTGCATCTATAGCCTCGGTAAATTGTGTATGTTTTGTATAAAACTTAAGAGGTCGGTGGTTAAATGATAGTAGATAAATAATAATTAGGAAAAAATGCAATACTTTGACTGTAAATAAAAGTAGCGAAAATAAAAAATATTTGTAAATGGATATGTAAAATAAAATGTGGTAATTCAAATAACAATTGGTAGATTTAATAATTTATTGTCAATTCTATATGAGATTCGCTTATCTGTCTGTGTCTGTGTTTGGACCCCGCTCGGAGTCTAAGGCCTAAGGGTAAAATGGGATGAACACCGATGCTGGTTTGCTTGCGTTCTCGACGAGAGGTTATTGCAGAGTGCCCGATAATGGATACATATTATGTACGCGAATCCACTAGGGTGGGATGAAAATGACATTTTAAACTTTTTACACAAACGACGGGTACGTTTCCTTAAGGACTCTGAAGTGTTTGGGTTGATAAATTATTCCCCAAAAAATGTTGATA